ATTATTTAAGATATAGTTTTCATTTTGATCAAAATTCATTGTTGCCATAATTTTATAAATGTTTGAAAGTGTAGGAAACAAATTTAAAATGTCAAAAAATAATGAAAATTAAGCTCTTAAAAATCAATTGAAAAATATGACTAATTACAGTATCCAGAATGAACCGTTGAGTTTTATGGGAATTGAATGTTACCATTAAATTTTACACACTTTTAAATGTAGGAAACAACTTTAAAATTTCAAAAAAGCATAGAAAATAAGGTACACACATGTATGCAAACAATTAAGTGAAAAAGTGATGAATTAATTAAAAAAACGTGTCAAATGCGGCATTCAAGGTATAGTTTTCAACTTGGGGAAAAATGGTTGATACCATCATTTTCTAAATGTCTTAAAGTGTGGGAAATAAATTTAAAATGTCAAAAAATGATGAGAATTAAGCTGTAAAAAATTAAGTGAAAAAATGGATCTGATTGCATTATAAAAAATGAACTGTTGAGTTTTAAAAAAATTGGATGTTACCATTAAATTCTACACGTTTTAATACCTAGGAAATAAATTTAAAATTTCAAAAAAACATAAAAAATAAGGTACAAACATGTATGCAAACAATTAAATGAGAAATGAGTGAAAAAAAAAAATTAATAATTAAAATTCATTTTTGTGGAAAATGGTTTTTACCATTAAATTCTACACGCTTTGAAACATAGGAAACAATTTTAAAAATTCAAAAAAACTCGAAAAATAAGCGGTAAAAAATTAATTAAAAAACCGCGTGTACACGCAGAATCCGCGTGTGCTGTGCCGCAGCAAAACCGCGTGTAAACGCGGATTTTCCGCGTTTTTTTATTAACACCGTTTTTATTAAGGCCCATATAGTATTCAAGAATTAATTTTCATTTTGATGTAAAATAATTATTACCATAATTTTGCACATGTCTTAAAGTGTAGGAAAAAAAATTAAAATGTCAGAAAATATTGAGAAATAAGTGGTAAGAAATTAATTGAAGAAATGTGCTTGATTGGAATTTTCAAAGTGATCCTTTGATTTCTAATGAAATTTAATATTACCACAAAATTCTACGCATTTCAAAACCTAGGAGATAAATTTATAATTTCAAAAAACCATGAAAAATTAGGGCATTAATAAAAAAACCCGCATTTTCCGTGTTTTGACGCGCTTTTGCTGCGCGCAGCACACGCGCATTCCGTGTTTAAACGTGCATTTATTAATTAATTTATTTTTGCCATTAATTTCGAGTTTTTTTGATTTTTTAAAGTTGTTTCCTACACTTTAAAAGGTGTAGAATTTAATGGTAAAAACCATTTTCCATAAATATGACTTTTGATTCTTAAGTTTTTTTTTCACTCATTTTTTCTGTTAATTGTTTGCTTTAAGTTTTCTACCTGATTTTTCAAGATTTTGTTTAATTAAAAAAAGAAAAAAATTGAAGGCTTGCAGGCTGCAAGGACTTCAACATTACTGTTTATGCAGCTCTTTGAATCTGAAATTTCCCCAAGGAACATTCATTTTGCACCCTTGGGGTCATTTAAGGGGCGGATATTTGTGCGGATACCCGCCAGCGGATGCAGATGCGGATGCAGATGTCCGATTCCGCTGAAATCGTGAGCGGATATCCGCATCCGCACAGATATCCCGATGCGCCGGGGCTATCTCTAGTCTCAATGGGGCACGTTTTTAAGATCACTCTGTCTAATGTGTAGATTGATTGCTCTTTTCTGCCTTTCTTTTGCGGATATGATTTTGATCTTGAAGCAAGTTCAAGGCAGTGGAAGAAGACGCTTTCTGATCTGAAGCAGTGGAATCGAGTTTGGCAATTGAGTTCTGTTGCTCAAGAAGGCTCTTCTCCTTGACTTTTCTCCAAGCTTCTCAACGCTCAATCCCTTTGATGACCATCCCTTTCGGCCAAACATCTGAGAACAGGAACTTCACAATCAACTCCACCAACATTGCGCCGCGAAAGTCCATACACATGACTATACATAACTGCATCTGGAACTAAATATTTGAATCACAAGTAAGTTCAACAGCCCAAACGCTGATGAGGAAGAGGAATCACTCCGAGCAGAGGATGGCCAAGGATCTGTAGACTTACGCTGGTAGGCATGTCCACCAATTGGAGCCAGCCGTTCGCCTCAGGAACAAAGTTGTTAGCCCCGCAGAAGGCCACTGCAGCCGCTACAAGCAAGCCATACAACAGCGGCTTGTTCTCCTTGATGTCTTTCTGGAACGGTTGGCCTTGGAAGTTCACCGCAAAGGTGGAGAAGCTTTGGCAGGTCGAGAGTAAGTAAATTGCTCTGTTCAATAGACTTGGCTTGAACTCAGCATCCAGATTGATTTCTTTGGTGTGTCTACATATACATATTTTTTCATTGGATGTAGTCGGAAGATGATATGTCGGTGGTGAGTCAGTGATCAATCCCTTTAATGCCTGGAAGTTTTCTTGTTTTGGACATGAGTACTCACAGTGATGTTGTTTCACAAAGTCCTGTAATGTAGATCAATGCTGCTAAATGACACATGAATTGTCCCAGGACAGTAGCCACAACATAAGTGTTCAAGATGCTCCCCTGAGGCTGCTCCTTGGTTCCTCCCGGCGGTGTGACCTTGGCCTCTCTAGGCCAAGGGGGTTTGAAAAAAAAATAATCAATGGGGCCGTCCCATAGGATTCATGACTGGGTCCTATGGGACAGCCCAGGTCCTAAATGCATATAAATATGTGTTTAGGACCGCATATTGGGCGTGCAGGCAGGCACGCCAACCTGCAGGCGAGTGGTTCGCCTGCCTTCACGCCATTCTGCAATGGTGTGCAGGCGCGCACGCCAATCTGCAGCTGGCGTGCAGATTGGTGTGCGCGAGGGGGGTTGGCTTATGCTTATCAACCCCCAATGTGATGAGATGACATGAGATGATGAAAAATTGGAATGAGGGGGGGAGCAGCCCTCCTTAAATAGTCTATTTTACAACCCGGCTGACTTGTGGTTCTAGCCCTAACCAATAATCTCTAAATGGCCAACTTGTGGTTCTAGAACTAACATGCAAATATGTAATGACCAACTTGTGGTTCTAGCCCTAACCAATCATGAATATGCATCTAAAGAAAATATGGCCAAATTGTGGCTTTCCCCGCTATACAAACAATGTGGCCAACTTGTGGTTTACATTATGCAATAAGCATTTTGTATGCACATAAAATGTAAATCCCAAATAACTTTTGACTGAGTGGAGCTAGCCTAGTGGTTTCAGTGAGTGACTATGGGTTAAATGACCCGTAGAATCTATTTAAGCAATAATAACACGAAGAATATAGCCTATGATGAAGAGTGGATCATGAATTTCTGCAATTACGTACTTGAAACACATTTGGCACACTAAACCGCTCCTCCGTTCCATTCCTGGTTGAGACATGTTCTCACACACCACTCCTAGTATACACACCGCTCCTTCATTCTATACCTGGTTGAGACATGTTCTCCCACACCGCTCCGAGTATGTAATCCTGTCCGTATATACCACACCTCATCCATAATGATTGTTCCATCTCTTGTAATGACTGTCACATCTATGTAACTATGCTATCCCAAGACCTCTGCTGTATGCTTTTGGCATTGGAGCAGGCACAGCACACCATAACATGTCCGCACACATCTTTCCATTGGTGTGCGGGACCACACTCCCCTTCTGAGGGGAGTATGGGAGTGCATGAGGAAAGGGGGGGAGTGTGATTATCACTCCCCCTACAAACTGTTGTCTTCTTGGCATCATGTGTAGCCAGAATATTTACTATCTTGTCATCATACAGGCTGATAATACTCACTGTTCCTCAATCTGATTGAGTACAGCTTCCACTCTATCAAATCCTATGTCTAATCAAAAAAGCCACCCAATCAAGCATCATTAGTATCACAAATAAAAAAATGAATCAACAAAGCAATTACCCCAGAAAAATCACACATCACTGTCAGCAAATTTATTGCCCCTGTGCAGAGTTCCAAGAAATCACCAAGAAAGTATTGTCTGTGCCATTTGAATAGTTTTTTTTTTCAGTTTTTTCCCTCTTTTTGATCATTCTTTTTTGTCTTATTGCACTGTTCTGTATTTTTATCATTATTTTTTTTATAACACAAAGCATAAGCAATACAAGAAATTGTAAAGAACCTATGTAGATTAATTAGCAATTTGTCAACCTATGTACCCTCGGGCCCCCTCCCAATTGATGTGTAAAGAGAGAGAGACACGGAAGGTGGATGGTGGATGCACCCCTTGAGTTAAAGGGTGCATCAACCTTTGGCAGGTGTGGCAATCTCACTTGATTTTGGTCAAGCGGGATTTGGGATTGGCCAGGAGCACTTGGCCCTTTTTTGGCCAAACTTGGGTGTGTGCGCAGACTGCCTTGCAAAGCAAGACCAATTGTAAAATGGGATGTAAGATCTGGATATTCGACAATAATTAAAGAAAACCAAGTGAATATACTGTGAAATAATGGATGCTATGGAAATGTATGGGTTATCACAATGGTCATTTAATCAATTCTTGAAGCTGTTTGTTTAACCTTCAGGTGCCATTGAGTTGACCAGTTAGTCATACATCTGATAGCTCAAAAAGGCTTAACAATATAAGTAAAACCTATGGACATTGTCCTTCACCCCTTTCATTGTCAAAACGGTTGCAAAATCCTTTGCACACTTGCAAATCTAAACAAAATAAACAACACAGGTTCAATTCCCACTGAAACTACTTATTCAGAATCTCCACAATGAACCTAATTACTATCATAGTTGGCCTTATCATCTGCCTTACCTCAGCTTGTTTGGCCCCCAGCCAGATCACTTGTGAGGCATGCAAGAAAGAAATAGCTTTAGAGATGAGGAATATAGGAAAACGCCCTCCAAGTGGTGATTGTGGTGAAGCCTTGGGATGGAATGAGCGCTGTAAATTTGAACGTAAAAAGAAATATTACAAATGCAAAGACATGGATTGCCAAGCAGTAACAGTAAAAAATTTACAATGTAATTATGGTGCATTCAGGGAACCCTGTGATCATGACAACAGATTTGTATATGAACCTCCAATCACTAAAAATATTGAAGCCTCCAGTTCAGGAACAGTTGTACCCTCAGGTACAAGTGCTGAACGCCCATTCTACCACTTCCCAATTGTTTCAAGGGATGGAGAATCAACTTCAGAAATGTTTACACCCTCAGGTACAACTTCCAAAAACAAATACCATCACTTCTTGTGATAAATCACCACCACCATGAAATCACAAGATTGGTAACCCCCCCCCCCAGGAAACTTTTTTATTGGAATGTGGACCAAAAGCTGCAAAAAGTTGCAAAAACAATAAGGTGTAACAAATTCAATTTGAGGGTCTTGCTGAAAATGAAAAGTCTGAAAAAGATTCATCCTCCAAATTTTGATGAGGCTTGATATGTGATTTAGTTTATCATGGTAATTTTTCAATATTAGACTACATATATGGCTATCAATTACCAGTTTTTGTAGGATACTGCTCAAGATCTTCATTCAGCAGTAAAAGCCTTGTCTTATTTTGGATTTCCATACACCCCCATAACCAAATTATCCCTAGAAATATTTGACTAAACAACCAAATGATGAGGATGTGGTACCAAAGCTGTAAAACTTACCACAGTTTTGTAGTCAATCGGACCTGATTACCGGTCTTGCCTGGGATCAATCCCCATTGGTTGTATCTTTTGCTGCCAGTTGACAGCAGACTTTACAATCATAGCAACCTTCAAAAGCAAATAGTATTTGACTAAACAACTAAATGATGAGGATGTGGTACCAAGTCTGTAAACTACACAGTTTGTAGTCATCGACATGATACTGTCTGCATGAGATCATCCCATGGTGTATCTTTGCTGCCAGTGACAGCAGCCAGCCTGATCCTCATCCTCATTTGAGGATGAGTGATGTCAAATCTCATCAATATAGCCACAAGGCTGTGATGTGATACTATGTAGCCTTAGGCATGGCTGCCTGTCAAACAACCCAGCTGGGTGGTTTAGCCCTTCGTATGCCGAAGCTCGCTATTATGTAAGCTGGATATATGCGGCTGCTCCAGGACGTCGCGAGTTGGTCAGTTGCAATATTTTGGAGTACATAAGCCAGTCTTGGTCAGGAACTCCACGCTGCTGACCACCCTCCCAAAAAAAACCAAACAGCTGATCAGGATGGAGGATCAAGAACCAACGAAGAACAACACCACCAGCCCAGAACCACTACCACTCTCATTCCCTGCCATCCTCATCAACCCAAAACTCAAACACCTCTCAAGCCAACTACCCAAGAACCTACATCAGCATCGACCAAAGAAATCAGCTGACTCACCTGGCACCGATCAGACTCGACCGATTGGCAAACGGAGACTGAAGAGGGTTGCAAATGGTTCAGTCAACCCCCCCACCTGATTATCTTCATTATCAACTGCAACTGACCACTTGAATTCTTCTGTTGCTACAAACAGCTCAATTCAGCTCAAATCCGCATGTCAGTCGACCGACAACTAGGGATTATCAACTCTGGACAGCAGACCCGCAGGCCAAATTTCCGACTCCACCTCCGCGAGGATATCCGAGTTCGTTATACGTCCCCCCGTCGGAGCCGATTCCGATCGACCCGTTCTCGGCGACCATGGGCGCATTCAATCGGTCATTGAAAGGGGTCCGGAAGAACATCCGCCGATTAGTTGGGCCAGATCCTTCTCCAGGCGCTTGCCCGGGTCCGGTGGAAGAGATCCTGCTAAAGATCGACCAACGGTTATCGGCTTGGGTCGACTCGAAGACGGTCTGGAAGGCCACAGAGACGGACTATTCGCGGACGATGGTCGAGCCTAATCCCTGGCCGCAACCCGCCCCGCTCAGACACCATCCGCTCCCGGAACCCAGTGCGGAACCGTCGATCGTCGAGATCAGTCGCTCCCCACACATGTTGAACTGGGAGGTCCCGAATCCATTCGGGAGATATCTGGTCCACTGTGTGGCCCGATACTACGGCATCGTCTCCTTCTCTCGTCCGCTTCCCTCCCCCTCCAACCCCACTCCATCCCATTCACAAAGAACCGTGGTCTGCATGGTCAAGGCTCATTTCCCGACCCGAAGGGGCTCCCGGATCGACGGCAACCAGTCCCTCGATACTCCGCCCACAACCGACCTGGACAGCGAACTATCTGCAGTCGAAGTACTTTCTGAAGACTCTGGGGCCGTCACCGACGATGAGCCCGCACGCTCCTCCTCCCCATCGTCATCACCCGTCGACAATCCTATCCTGCCCTCAACAACACCCAAACCAGTCATCCTCGCCCACTCTGAGGATGCCAGCGACCCTTCTAAGGATATCGAGCTCGTCGATCCGGAGGCTGCTGATCACTCTTCTTTGGACTCCTTTGGAGACCATCTTGAGGACGACGACGATCGCCGCTCTTTATCTACGCCTGAAGAGAATCCTCAGCTCGTCTGCTCGACGATCAACCATCATCTCGACCCTCTTCTTCATGATGATGATGATCAGGATCCAAATCGAACTCTCACTCATCTCTCTTTCTCTTCTGGCTTCTCAAATACATCGCCTGCCCATCTTCCTCCTCTGCACTCTTCTGCTCCTTCTCTCGCTAAACCTCAGGGCAAAAGCGTCTCTACTCATCTGCCTCAGATTAGCTTTCTGGATTGGGTCCGGAGTTGAATCTTCTTTCTCCTCTTGGACACACTTCCTCTTACTTGTTGCTCAGCCTTTTTTTTTTTTTGACTTTTTGTAATAATAAAAATGATCTTGCTGTATTTGTTGGGTTTCTTCTGCATTTCAAAATAAATAATTAAATACTCGAGTTGAGATACATAAGAGACTAGACTGTCAGAATTTTCGTCAGTTGCAAAAAACAGAGAGAGAAAGGAAAAGAAAGAAAGAAAGAAAGAAAAACCATGAGTCTCTGTTGTTGGCTGTTGAAGATTTGCGCCCCTTCAAGGTCGACCCCAGAGTGATTAACAACAAGAATAGTGACATTATTGGTTAAGGAGCTTGATTGTTTTCATACCAGCTTATCTGTTTTCTCCGGGTCTATTGGTCTGTGACAGGTATCACCAAATACATCAAAAAAAAAAAAAAAAAAAAAAAAAAAAACGGACAACACACATTCAAGTACATAACTTTACTTTATTTTGGTTTTTTGTCGTGTTTATGACTGTTTTGAGATTACTCTCTGATAGTATCGGTATATTCTGGATTGTGGATCGAGGGGGTATTTTGTGTTTAGAGACTTATTACTAGGACGCGTTTGAATAACGCGAATAAAATGCTTGGATCCGGCTCATCAGAGTTGGAAAGATCAAGTGTCATCGGCACATTTTCACTACCCATCTCATCTCATCTCATCCTTTTTTTTTTTTTGGCGAAATGTTCATCCATTGTGTATGGTTGATTGCCACCTTTTTTTTTGTTCTCATATTCACTCAGCCTTTGACTCACCACGCTGGCCATGGACAGGCTTCAAAAGAAGACCGCCAACGAGACAGCTTCCGGAAAAAAACTCATGAATAATGGTAAGGATAAACGAGTGTGTATGTATTGGGCATGGTAAAGGAATGTATGGGCAAGAATTTTTAACGAGTGTGGCTTTTACAATGATCGTGCTAGAACTCATGATTGAATAAATAACTTTTTTTTTTAAAAAAAAAAGTCGACTTGATAATAAAAAAAGGATAAAAAGGAGTCGATAAAATAAGGGGTTCAAGTGGAAATTAAAAACGGGAGGAGGCAATTAATCAACTATCATGTCCCGGTAACATGAATGGAAATTGATAGAGTTTGTAGGAAGCGCTTTTTTTATGTTTGAGGTTTTTTTTTCGGTGGATGTGCTCGGGATTTCACCTGATGAACAGAATTTCTAGAGGATGAAGCAATAAAAAATCGTTCAATCATAATGCCCATGTCCAATGAGGGATACAAATAAAAAGAAAGAAAGCGTAGTCGAAGTGCATATGTACCTAGATTTGCGGGTTCTCGAGATGTCTGATGACCTTCCACAAGCGATCGTGAGGAAAGGTGTGGTGATCCAACTCAGCATAAAGGATACAAAGCACCCAATCTCTACAACACCAATCAGGATCATCGATCGATCGTCGCCAAAGCATATGTTTAGTGTTGAGGACTCTGCGTCTAAAGTCGTTCGTCCCGTCGGGAGTGGCCGCGAGTCCTAAGCGGATGATCGGTCGCATCGGACGCTCTTGGTCAAGAAATCTGCGTTGACTTGGGAAGATAATAATCTGCACGTCGTAGACTCCTTCCCGAGCTACACATGCCCCGATCCCATACCCCAGACAATCTTCTCCCGTCGGGACCATGATCGTGTGGCTTACTTCGCAGGTTCCGGCCCGTTGATGGGGCTCCCGGATTTGGGCTACAAAGACTTGGTTGCTTAGACGGTTCAACCGGATCGATCTTCTCAATTCAAAATAAAAGAACATAAAAATCGAATCTCGTGTCAGTTTTTTTTTCCCCGTTGCCTTGTAAGAGGAAATCGAAGATCGGCTTATTAGTAGCAAAAATCTTACCGTGGTTTTCCTGCGTTCTGAGGCATGTTATGGACTAGATATAAAACAGACTTGAAATTTTTCCAAAAAAAAAAAAGTAGATGACTGGGATCGAAATTAAAGGTCGAGAAAATATATATATATATAAAAAAAGGGAGGGGGTTTTCTAAGGAAGAATGGAAGTTGTTCTTCGAGAGTGAGAAAAGTCCAAGAACAAGAAACCGCCAAAAGGTTTAAGACGAGCCCAGGGAAATAAAAACAATGTATTGCACAGCAATCGGTGAAAATAGAATCAAAGGTTATGGATTGAGGTGGTTTGAAAGTGGAAAGGTGAAAGATGTATTGGATGATGATGGTGGTGATGGTGATGGAATGAAGAAGAGGAGTCGGAATAGCAGCGACGAACGCTTGACTTTATACAAGAAATAAGCGGAGGGATCCGGGAGGTGTTGTTGCAAAAGTGAAGACCAAAGCTAGCAAGCCATTCCTTCTCCATAGTTAGTGCTACTCAGACCTTCAAGCCGCAAGACTGGAGCGTTTCCACAGAGAGAGAGAGAGAGAGAGCTGCAGAGGACGTTGGACGTGTGTTCCCATTGATGTAGGGTGGTCGATAAAAGGCGTTCAGGTGGCTCTGCATCGCTTTCAACAAAACTGAGCCTGTCTGCTTATTAGATTATCGTTTCATTTGCACAAGCATTACAGAGGCTGGGGGGTGGGGGGGCAGGAAGAAGAGTTTTCTCTTATCAGATCGCCAAATTTGGGCAGACTGGGACGGTAAGACTCAGAAGATTTGTGCCAACCGATCAATGTTTAGAAAAGGCTATATTGATCCATGAGCTCAATGGCGTTGAAAAGTTCCGTTTTTTTTTTTTGAACAACGTGAGTATGTGGCTCTGATGATGATGATGGAGACAAAGAGCTGATCCTCTCCATCTGCCTCGTGAATATGTATGTGGCTTCTTAAAGGGAGATCATGAACATTGGCAACCGAGCACCGAGCTCAAAGAAAACACTTCCTTTCATCTTCACTTCCAATACCTGAATGAGGTATCTTCTTCTGAAAACTTCCCCATTTATCGCTTGCAGGGCTATGTTGCAACCAAGCTCATGTTGGGCGAGCTCACTCCGCTGGCTCCCGGCGGACAAGCCCATGCGAAGTACAAGCTCGCTGCCCCGACCGGGAGATCATGAGCGTCTCGCGGCGGGGACGACGCCGGGAGAATACCTTTGTCGATAAGCTTGGATTTTTCGGGTGGCGTTATTCGATTGCTATGTACGGACGTAGTGAATCCAATGATCCAACAAAAAAAACATCGTACGTTGCAGAACTGTGTCCCTAATTATAAGCTTTGTGGTAAGATCAACTTTGGAGGAAACATATCAACGGCTTGGTATGGACACGTATACATACATATGTGGTCAGAGCACATTACAATATCAAACAAGATGTAAGTCTTCTTTGTGATTACTCAACATGAATGCATATTTGAACGGTTCCAACTGGTACACAGCGGGGCGAATCGATAAAAGTTAGATCGCCCCAGTGGCGCCACAGCCCCCAGGTCGACCTGGGGGCCCGATATGGCGCCTTTGTGACCAAGTGCTCCTGGCACGCAACACGGGCCGGCCTGAGGGCGATACCGGTGGCGGGTGCGCCCTCATTTCGGCTCGATGACTGGGTGGAGACCAGTTCGTCCTGATGACATTCACTGGGTGAGTCACCATGACGGTGTGGTCCCAGGACCTCCACATGGGCGCAACCGGAGGTGACCGCGCCTGTGACGATTAGGTGGCTGGGTCGGCCCATGGAGCGGCTCGCCCTGATGGTGTGCTAATGCAGACCTGAGGACCATGCCTGGGCGAGCGTCTCAGTTGCGCGCTTGTGGGAATCGCCGGACCGACCTGCTGGGTGACGGAAACACCCTGTCAGGCAGGTTGGAACCTGTTTGGAATATTGTTTTGTTTGTTATCTGTTTTCCGAACGGGCATATTTTGTTGCCCGTGACTTGAAGAAAAATCCCGGTCGGCCTCATCGTTTATGAATGCGCTGAAACGATGAGGTCGATAGCTTATAAGAGGGTCATGGTCGCACACAACCAAGCATGACCAAGTGCTATCATGCTCATCAACAAAAAGTTGACCGAGCGGCCTGAGGAATCGGAAGTTCCGGAGCCAGCTCTTCCGGACAACCGAGTCGTTATATCATCGATTGATTTACATTACTGCTTATATGTCAATAGCGACATTATCTATTATCGAAGGCCGCGCTATGATGATGAAGAGGCAACCATTAATCAGGGTGATTACCAACGGTTGATGTCATTCGGTCACATCGAGCCCCTGGAGGTGGACCTGGATAGAACCGACTTCGAGTCTTTCAAATCACAACTGCTCCTTCAGCTGGCCAACACTCGGGCCGATTATCAGCTTGGCATGCTCATCGAGCATTTCGAGAGTACAAGGGACATCTTATGGAAGGCTCAGGTTTACAGTTACGAAGAACGTCGGATCGTGGCAAATTATGATCTCCACGAACGCTTTCGCTCATGGAAATACGACGTTCTCACCTCTCCATTAGGGGGGTTCACGATAGCTTTTCACCAGAAAAGTTTTATCGTCCCACCAGTAGAGATGCGCATGCTGCGCACGTTAAAATTTTAGGGAGTGTTTAACACACCAGCATTTATGCACCAGGAAAATTTAGCAATGCGAACGCACTGGTGATCACATCCCACCACTGCATAATCACTTTCCTCGTTTCCACCTCCCGCCTCTGGTTATTGACCGGCATTCCTCCAACAAAAGGTGTCCCACGCACGCCAGCAAGCCTCCGACCCGAAGAAACCTGTTCCACGCACGCCAGCAAGCCTCCGACCCGAAGAAACCTGTTCCACGCACGCCAGCAAGCCTCCGACCCGAAGAAACCTGTTCCACGCACGCCAGCAACCCTCCAACCCGAAGAAAGCCTCTCAATCAACTTACCGGATTTTTAAACCAGCATCTCACCAAATCATCCGATCCCACACCATGCACAAAAACAGTGAGCGTCAACAGATACTCCGAGATATCTTCATGATACTGGCATTTCTCCACCAGCAGGAGACAGACGACCTCATCGACTCAACCTTAGGAATCCCCACGGTGCCATCACTTGGGAAAATATTGGCCCCTACCAATCCAGGCCGCGCTTTCGTGCTGGACTTTTTATTTGACGATCAGGCTATGATATCCGATGTCTTTGATTTGGTTCTCCGTAATCGATACTTGAATGACCGATCGCCGGGGAGAACACGTGAAGAATTTGACTTGGCCCAGCTTTTCTGTCGGTGATGATTCTTATGGATCACCCTGATGCCTCAGATGATCCGGATGATCTGGTGAGCTTGCTTCGCAATGTACATGAGGAGTGCTGGGATTTGGCTGATTTATGGGATACTGATCAGAATTAGCTATCAGGACCAATAAGCAGTCATCTTTCTCATAGTTTATAAGCATGTAGATTAGTCTGGCTACACTACAGGCGAAAAAGACAGCTAGAAAATGTATCAAGCCTTTCGGCAGCCATGGCTAAGGTTTTGGCTGGGCCCGGGGCGAACTTGATTCTTGTGAGGGTTTCGGTTGTGGTATGTTTGAACCATGACCAGTGAGTGATCTTCAGGTCACTGATGAGTTGGCGGGTTTCGGTATCATCTTCCGGGATACAAGCGACCTTGAGGAATTCATGTAGCTGTAAGTTATCGCTGGCTCTTGAGAACATATCAGATATATGATATTCCAAGGATTCCGGATCTGGGTTGAATACCGGGCATCTCTTGATAGTCGATGCGGTTGGTTGGCCATCCACAGTGGGTTTGGGTGTGATTGATGGGGTAGGCTTATCGCTGGCCAAATTGGTTGAGCTGGGAGAAGTGGGGTCACCGTCATCGCCTAGCCAGATGTAGTCATGACCTTGAGGTGGGTGATACTCATCGACATCGGGTGTATGTTGGAACAACATTGCTTGGACCCATCCTTGGACAACAGATGGGGTCAGTTGAATGTACTGATGGGAGTCGACTTTCCGGAATATAACAGGTTGACCATCAACGATCTTGGCTCGTGCTCGGAGACAATCCTCAAAATGTTGCTGTAGTTCAGGTTGAGATAGGGTCGCAATGTGGGGTGTTCGGACCTGAATGGTAACAGAGATCATTTGGATTTGAATTCTACTTTCGGGTTTGCTACGACTAGTCTTTAAGTAAGTATCATGGATCACGCACCATTTGTCGGATAAGGCCATCCTGCTTGGCCGTTGGCATATTCGGTTCAAAGGTGCAGACACGAATTATAAACTTCTCAAAAGGGGGTGATCGGGCGGACTTGTGGGCAAAGTGAGTCCAGCCGCCATGACCATAGATGAACTCGCCGTCGTTCTTGCGGATCTGGCCTTGCGTGGATATGACACCTTCCCAGAATAGCTCGCCTGCGTCATCGTTCGTTCGCATTTCGTGACCGACTTCTGGATAGTGGTGGAGGACTTTGGCGATGATTTCTTGCTTGATGTCTTGCCAGCTGTAATTCCGCGGGTCTCCTCCCCAGTAAAGCTTCTCTGGGGGGCCACTTGTGAGAGTCCAGTGCTTGATCTGCCTCACATTGCGCTTGCCATGGGTCGTCTCGGTTGCCAGTGGGTCGGCCAGCCAAATGTGGTACAAAATTTGGATCCCTACGTTGACTATTGCATCATGGTATATTTTGGGTCGCTTGGGGTCGGGTGGAATGCCTGATTCGGGTTCCGTCGAGAGTTTGTTTAGGGTCATGATGAGGGTTTGTTCGGCCGATTTGGGAAGGATGATGCAGGGCTTGGCCTCTGTTCTGGAGTGGGACTTGTCGGTATTGTTGGCCTATTTGGTCTGGTGGGCCTGAGGGGTCATGATGACTCAGAAGTAACTGCCCAAGGGGCCAAGCGGGGGCCAAGGCGTAACCTGCCGCTTTTTGGGTATGTGGTGGCATTGTTGACATTTAATCCACACATTTCAGGCAAAGTGGGCTTGGGTGGACACCCAGTTTTTCTGGCGGCTATTATCTTGAACAAACACTATTCAGACAATGTGGATTGATGCTGTCTTGGAACCATTTGATAAAAGGAATGGCTTGTGGTTGGCAGGTAAAATGTGCCATGGGCCATTGATTTGGAGGTTTCCTCCTGTGGCAAATGGGTTGACCCAAATTATGTACATAGAATTTGAACATAGGATAATAAATTGTTGGACTCAAGATATGTACATAGAATTTGAAAAAATTGTTTTGACCCTAATTATATACATGGAATTTGAACATAGAATAAAATATGGTTCCCAAGTTGAAATATTTCAGAACTGGGGCTGGATCATTCTGTTTCTCCTTCTGCATCATCATCGCCTTCTTCATCTTCTTCATCAGATGAATTGACCTCATCTGCTGCATCTGCATCTTCATCTTCATCTTCATCTGAGGTGATATCTTCATCTTGATCATTCCACACAGCCAATCCTTGGCTGATGGCATCAACCCATTCTTGATCTTGGAGTGTGCGTACTGGTAATTTGGATATCATTTGATGAAGGGTGGGGTCATGTAGTGAAGATGCATTGATTATGTAATGGTCTTGGTCATTATGAGTGACTTCCCAGGTCAGGTCACCTGTGGTCTGACGTTCTTTTTTCTTGGCTTTGGTTTTAGTGGCTGAGCAGTTACCTTTACAACAATTATGTTGTACATTGATGCAACCTTGAATAAACTGTGTTATGAAAAAGGTAAAGGGTCAATTAGTTTATGGTGTATGTTTATGGGGCAGTTAAATGGTACCTGACCCTAGCATTGACCACTGTGCTTTGGCTTGTCCTCTTCAATTGTCTCATCTCATAAAATGCATCAACTCCTTTGAGTTTGAAAACATTGACCTTACAAAAGAAGCTTGGGGACATTCCTTCAGCCTTGGCTTGCCATAGGGATTGGACCTCACCAACTCCCAATTCATCACTGGTGTTATTTCCGACCTGCAGCAATGGTAGATTAGCTATGAGCCAGTGGGGGTTACATATGTCAGGTCCATATTGCGTACCACAACAAATACCCCTGGGTCCAATCGGTCATGCTTGTTGATTTGTATTTGGGCTACTTGGGTCACCACCCGTCCATCAGGTGGATTTTCCAGCTGTTGGGGGATTTGGAGTTTGGGGTCCTGGATATGATGTTTGGCTGTCTTGGCTGGATACTGATCTGGATCTAGAGGATGAGATGCATTGAAGTTGTACCCCATGGACTGCTGAATTATTTTGTTTCCAGAGAATATTGAGGTCACATCGTCTCCTATTCCTCTGGACTGGGAGGTTTTGGGGTCATATATTGTGCCCCCAGAAGTTAGGAACCTTATGGATGAATAATTATCAAATGATGTTGCCAAGTCCCTCCCTGGGGCCATCCGGTTGGAGTGAATTGATGCTTTCCTTAAGACACCATTGTATGATTCAAACTTTTCCGTTGACACCAGAGAGGGAGGGCCAAATCGCCTGATGGAGTCAGGTAGGTGTAGTAGCATGTGTATTTTAGGTTTGTTAACCCACTGTGCTGTTGATTTGATCAGGTGATATATCAACAGGTGGATGTGATTGGTTATATCAGCTAGATAATCTTCCTCATTGGCTATTTTGGTTTGGAATATGAAGGGGGTTAGTTTACACAGTGCAAACCATATCTCCTTCTGATCAGGGGTCATTGTCTCTGAGAAGACAAAAGGGGCTGCCTGAATGATTATCTTGAAATCCCTTCCAACAAGACTTTTGATGTGTTGTATGAGATAATCTGGTTTGAGTGAGTCAATGTTCAATGATTGACAGTTGAATGATTCCAGTCGTGCAATTAATTTGTATCGTTGGGTTTGGGGGACACCTGCCACCAAATCCCGGGCCAGATATTTCACAACTCCCAGGAGGACAACATGCAAAATTTCTACAGGAGTATCTTTAACACCATCAAATCCTATGAATAAATGTGGGTCAATTAGTCATTTATGAAGTGCATCATAAGGATAAAGTGGCTGACATACCAATCAGTTCAAGTATGGGGTTATACAACCGGTGAGGACTGTCTTGGGCAAAATTTTCCATTCTTTCTTTGACTCGGGGATCAGACTTTGATTCAATTATGAATTTGTTGTTGATAGTGTCCTTCAACCCATATTTCCTTCCCTTTCTGATATATTGAGCATTGCTTTCTGTGGTGGCAATGTTGAATAGTTTGTGAGTGTTGCTCTTGGTTGTTTCCCAGTGCCTTTCACCTCTTGGGAACTGCATACAAAATTAACAATGAGTAACATGATACATTAGCCTCATGGATATATGTAAATATATGCAAACCTTTCTCCCAAACATGTCCCTTTGGACAAAATGTTGAACGTATGTGTGAGTCTTGCGGAAACGCTTGGCCGAGACACATAGGGTACACATTCGACAGGGGTTCAGGGAAGCTCCTGGATTGGGGGTGTTGGTAATCTCCACGTGCATGGGTGAGTCAGCTACAAAGCACAAGACTGTTGACGTTACCAACACCACTTGAGATATACTGTGATCATAAGCTTCAAACCCTACTGTGGCCAATTCACTGTGATTAAATTTTAATTGGTATCAGGCCAGGTCATTCAAGGGGATAATGCATGCATGGAATGACTCACTTCAATTCCTTAACAATCATTTCTAACATTTCACAAACACTTGCCAAATTGGAAGTGGCCAAGAAGTGGCAGTTATATTCTTGATTGGATATATGTGGGGGCAGCCCAGCCAAAGTGAAATAAAATGATATATGTTTGTTGAACTGTTTTGAAACATTGCCAGATGTGTCATCTGAGTACAACACTATTGGACAATGCCGGATAATTTTCCCATTGGCTTTGACTCTCCATGGATTAGGGAATGGAATCTTGTTGACCTCCTTCAGCCTTTGTTCTGTCATTGAAGGGGTAACATTGGTTATTCAACATCAAAAAAGGGTAAATTAGAAACCACTTGCCATATATAAAACCCTTGCATGCATCAATGATGAACTTTCCATCAACCCAACGGATGGTAGAATAGTCTGAATCAAATTCTGTGACAGGAATGGTAGACAAGCGGGGGTCATAGAAGGGCAGGGGGAAAGGAACAGTGATCTTGATGATTGATGTGGTTACTCCTTCTGTAATATGTTTCTCCTTCTTGATATGTTCAGCCTTGATGCGGACACATTTAGATTTGATTTCAGTGTTGGATTTGTATAAAAAGATTGGGATAACCACCTCATGTGATACCAACTGCACAGGCTCATAAATGTAAAACTGTTTCCCATTAACCTCACACATCTGCAGTCGGTTCTCACGGGGGATCCCACTGAGCCACTTGTAGGATTGAGAAAATCTGGACATGTTCATCCCATTAGTGTCTTCAGGAAAGAATTCCAAGTGTTTTGATACATGAGGATTGGCCAACTCCTACGTAACAACAGACCAATCCTGTTCAGCCTTGGTATAATCAGAGCCAGTATACATATATGACAGACAAGTACGAACCTGAGATAAGATTGTTTTAGCACTAAGAGAATAACATGGTGTGTCAAAAACAGAATTGGCATTCCTTAATTTGGTGCCTAACAAGCCACTAATCCTGGCTCTTGAAGCCCTAACTGTTGCCCATGCTGGGAGGACCAACCCGCACAGTGTCAGAATGGCACGAATCTTTGTGTATAAAACCCTGGAGAGCATTGAATGAGTGTGACCAATTATTAGGGATGCAATGAGGTCCTAATAGACCCAATCATAAATTAACACAGGATCAGCTTGTGAACATTTAAATCAATATAGACCAAAATATTACTCAACAAGCTTGCTCTTGAAAGGGTACCATTTACAGGTGTTGACCCTATCAGACCGCTTATCAACTCTGATGATGGGAGGTGGCTCCACACCCATATGATTGTCCTCATCTGATTCAATGGATTCAAGTTCATCTTCAAGGATGGTCTCCCAATTGGCAACCTGACCATGATCTTCAGGGGTCCGATTGACAGGCACCCGGGCTTCCAGTTCATCAAGCTCCTCATCTAGTGTACGAATGATCCTTTCAGGAAGAGAATCAGTCCGATGGTGCAAGAGGTCTTCCAGACGTAACCAAACTCGTTCCATATGGGCTTGGTCTTCCTCTGACTCTTGATTAGGGTTGTTATTTGAGTCTTCAAGGTTTGCATCATGTTGAATCATCCCACCTTCATTTGTGGACAAGATGTGTTCAAGTTCCTGCCTCCGGGCCAAGTTCAATTGATGAGTCTTACTCTTACAATGAACCCTCCAGTCCTTAGCTCCTCTTGCAAGTGGGCAGATGGTACAGAGGTAAGAGGTCTCCTTGTCAGTCTGAATTGTAGTGTAATCTAAAGAAAGAAGGCATTCTTTAAGGTCAGCAGACATATAGACAGTGCAGCCAAGATTCAAGGGAGAAACCAACCAGTATAGTGTTGGCCAGACATCATAACCACGACAAAATCATGAATGATGAATGGGATGCAGCTGCACACACCCCCACACAGATGGCTATATATGTAGGGCAACCATGGCAGCACCAAATGCCACACAACCCAAGCCAAGCTTTGGATAGGATAAGGAGATCAGCATCAGTCTAGAGTATGAACCAGATACTAGCATAATCTAAAACACCAATCCAATAAGGAAATAGATGATGTTTCAGACAAAATAAGCAAAACAACCTGATAGTGCAACTTATCTCAACAAACAATATGGCCTAGAGCATCAAGAAGATACACAATCAGCATTATCTAAAACACCAATCAGATAAGGAAATTGAAGATGTGCCAGATAAGATAAGGACACCCACCTCAGACTGCAACTCTTCTCAATCAACAATCTGATATGGAAATGACCACTAGCCCAGAGAATGAACCAGATACACTATCAGCATTATCTAAAACACCAATCAGATAAGGAAATTGATGATGTTTCAGATAAGATAAGCAAACCAACCTCAGACTGCAACTCATCTCAACCAACAATCTGATATGGAAATCACCACTAGCCTAGAGAATGAACCAGATACACAATCAGCAGCATCTAAAACACTGATGGAAGGAAATTCCCACCATTCTTGAGAATGAAGCCAGCAACATTGAGTCCTCTATATCACCTAGAAGACACATGCCACACCCCAGACCTAAACCTGATTCATGTCTCAGATGACCAATCTACAAACTGCCATGCCAAACCCACACATCAAGCATGCCCCCCTAAGACTTCTGGCCCATGAAACCCCAAGTTAGTGATGATTCTGATAAGCAAAGCAGCTGTCTGCAGTCCCAGGAACCCACATTTATCAAACACAGATGAGGCAATTGGCAATAGATCAGGATTGATCAGGTCAGATAAACATTCATCATATTAGTGAACACATGTTTCAGATAAGCCAATCCCCCCCCCTGCATCCCAACAGTAACAGATAAGCCAATTGGAATCAGATAACTCCACACTGACCGGACATATTGCAGTCGCAGCAGCCCCGCGGGGGCTCTGAGCGAGCACAGTGCAACCCTGCTGCGACATTGTCACATGAAACCCGCAAACCTAATTATTCAGTATGATAGTGATACTCAGTCTGATCGGTCATACACCCATACACCAAACAAAGTTGCGAAGCCCATCCGTCCCCGTTCCATCATAGATACCCACATCAACAATGAGTGCAAATTTCTTCCTACAACAAACAGACCCAGGACCGCAAGATAACTCCACCCAATCAAGGGCCCGCAGGGATCGATCTCCCTCCGAAGAAGGCAAGTGCCTGTGTTATCACCTAATACAAATCAATCCATTCTAATCTCCTACTGCAACTGCCCCCCACAGAGCCCGAGTCCCATGACCGAAACCAACGACGCCGCATTGGCAACCACGAGCTAGCCGACCCATTTGCTGACTCTGACTCTGAAGACACAGGAGGTCAGCGACCCCGAGAGGACACCCCTGTTCCTCGTACTCCCCATGAGCAGTTATATCATGACATGGGTGTGGCCGAGCTGGGAGAGAATGTTGCTCTTACTTTTCACACTGTATGTCATACATACCCGATGCTTCCCCCCTCCCCTAATAGCTCACCAAATCAGGCCCATTGATACAGCTTACAGAGCCGCAACGTTCTGCCGCCCTGCTTGCGGTCCAACTATCTGTACACCGCCGAATGGACGAAATCATAAGGAGAGGAATCAATCCACATCCACAGGTTTCCGCTGTCACTGCGGTTCTTAGCCATGAAGAACAAATCCGCACCTTTGAATACCAAAAGCCAGCCAAGGTAAAAAAATCCATGCAATTGACCCCTCAGGGTTGTAACAACAGCTGACCCCATGTCCCTTTGGTCAACAGGACTTCATCCGAATGACCGCGCGTCAATGCATGACCGCAGAGAACATTGAGACTTATGCTCAAGACAACCATGAAAACTTGCTCTTCCGCTTGGTCATGGTAAGTATACCACCACCCCACATCCTCACCCCACTCTTACTGAACCGCCTTGCCCTCCGAAACAAACCAGGCCGAAATAGCCCTCCTCCCCCCCGCCTTCCAACGTGCACATCTCCCACCCCAATTCATTGGAGGTGACCAATCAGCCCTGAATAGTGTTCACGCTGAGGTGAAGAACCAACTCAAACAAGTTCGACACAAGGTGCGCAACGTCTTGCTCACCGGCATTCTCACAGGTGATGCCCCTGCGCCCATTAAGGTCCCCAACATCCAAGAGCTGTCCAGGCTTGTCTGGAAGCATCTGATGACCACTGGGAGGTCCAATCCTCTCTCGGAATCGGAAATCGACACCCGAATCAATGTCTTTTTGAAGGTCCGGATTGCCTACCTCCGGTTAGCCACCCTAGTCAACTACCTCGATCCCGATTGCCGAAACATATCGCAGTGGGACCAGATAGATGCCCAACTTGTTGCCAGCCGAGCCCACCCAATCAACTATACTAACCAGTGAGCACATTCTCATACTTTGTCAGGTCTTTCAAATGCTCACCGATCTCTGCCTCAACAGTTGGAACCGACTGATCACATCCAAGGACAAGGCATTGTTTGGTGCCAAACCCATGTATGCTGACATCGATCAGGACCTAATCAGCAGTCCTAGCGATGAGGAAGTCCATGCACGTATGGCCACTGGCCAACGGCTATGAAACCTTGTTCGACCCTGTTTCTTGACCTGCTATCTCTTGATTCTCTCTTTCTCCTCTTCTACATAATGTCTTAGCCCCGCTTGTCTCCTGTGGCCAACGACTATGAAACCTCTATCCACCTCATGTTGTCTGATTACCTATTAGATTATCTGCTCCGCTCCTCTACATCTTGTGTTAGCCACTATCTGTCTCCGCTTATATTCTATGAGTCCTCCTTGGGAGTTTAAATCATCCAAAATTGATTCCATGATACAACTTCCGATATTTACGGCATGTGCACCATCCAAATGAAGAAATCACATGTCATCGGTCCCAGACCCTAAGGTGCCCTTGGCGCCACCGAGCCCATAACCAAACCAACCCAGGGGCGACCAAATTGACTCAGCCCATGTCGACCCCGGGACGGGAGCGGCCAACTCCCCCCATGACCCAAACCAGGTTGTCCCAGGTGCAAAAAAATCGCAACCCTGAGCCGCCCAAGCCCCGCCCTTGAGGGTCGGCCCATGTACGCACCCTCGTTTCACGCCCCTGCGACCCAACAAAATGGCAACCCTGAGCCGCCCGAGCCCCGCCCTTGAGGGTCGACCCGTGTGCGCACCCTCGTTTCACGCCCCTGCGACCCAGCATCCCCACGCCGGAATCAACAGGACGGCCTAGGTGCGCCCCTGGGGGTAGGACGCAATCGATCCGACCCCAGGGGCCGTCGAGGATCCGAGTTGGGATCGCACATAAGGCGAGCCGCCTATATGCCACCGGGACCTACTTCAACAGCGCGTCATTGGTAGCGCATCCATCTTGCGGGGTCCCGGACTCGTCACATCCTCCGCCACCGATTCGACTCAGTCAACCGGCAGTGTACTTATGATAACCTGTAAGGCGTGGCCTTATCTGGTCGTTCAAATGGGATGATCATGACTGGTGAAGAAGCAAGCTGCTTGGGTTTCATCAATGGCTCTCTGTGGCACGTTGGAGTGGTAAGCTCGGAGCTTACACAACGTACATTAGTCGATCACCGTCAACAGCAAACTACAAAAAATCCGATCCATGTGCGAAATCGGCGCCGGACGGAAAATGTCTTGGCTTCTTCTCCTGGCATTGAGGGTTTTTATTGATTGAGAAGGCGATTTTGTTGAATGGCTCCCTGTGCTTCGTGGAACTGCCGCCTGCCCTAACGCACGTTGGGTGTGCAGGTCCGTCTCTGGAGCTTAAAAAATGGGCGCTGGTGAAAGCTTGGAAGCGGCGGTGGAGGTCATCCAACGGATTACCTCCTTTGGCCCTTACCAGCTCAGCAAGAATGGTGAATCTTCTATAGACATACAGGTAAAAAAAAAGCTGTAACCAGCTCACCGGGGAGTAAAGGATTAATATAAAGGCTCGTGGTGGAACTTCAGAAGAGATTATTCGCGATCAACCCGTGGGGCGCGTAGCGGCTCGTGGAGCAGGGATGCTTGAAGTGATCGCACCAGCTGGCCAACGATCTTTTCCTGCTCGACGAGGGCCTGTAATGGCTTGACAGGGAAGTTATACCAACGTCTCTCTGGGAAGGAGGATGCATCCTTCGTGAAGAGGGTTCATTCTTGGCGAGCTGTCGGAGAGGGCCGTAAGACGATATAAGCCGTAGCAGCTCGTCGAGGTTGTAAAATCGACCTTGTCGAGCTGTTTCAATTTATTTGTAACTGATGAGCTTGGCAACTTATTTTAGGTCTTGTTTGGCCATCCACAATGGTGATAACAAATAATCCTAAATATACCAGGGGTATGCTAGAAGGTGCTTGGCACCCTATTATATTTTTTGATTGATGATGGGAATGAACACTTTGTTGAACCTAAGACTTTATTGCTGAAAATCAAACCAGAGCTCAAAAGGAAAAAAAGAAAAACAACTAGATATTAGAGCTGCTTGCTTTAGTTAGATTATCCACAGTCATATCCTCCATAGGGATTATTTTGACTGAGAATTCTTTCTTTTTGTATCAGTTGCACAACCATTTCATTTGGATGTCAAGATGTTTGGTTTTGGAATTGGCTCTGAAGTTTTTTTTTAATTTTTTGAGTCAACCCTAATTATTGATGTGGAATCAAGTTGAGTCTAGCTTGTGTTCCACAGTTCTTCAACCAAATACTTGATCCATTGATTCTCCTGTACAATTTCAGAAAGTATGCAAGCAGTAATTGATCTTGAGTTTGTCAAATTCAGCCCTTCTTTGCTCAGTGGCTTCTTGAAGTTAAACACCAACTTGAGAAACACCAAGGAGCAGCAGTTGAGCCAAGGAGGTTTGAAGGAGACCAACAAGGCAGGGCGATGATACAAAGGAAGAAGGAGGAACAACTATGCACCTGATAATGTGCAAGGAGAAACAATGGAAGATGAGTGAAGAGAAAGAAGAAAAAGATAAACGTGCACAACGGCTAAGAGCATCTCCACGGGAGTCGCTAATTTCGGGTCGCTATGTTCTCACAATAGCGACCAGATTTCAAGGTTTGAAGACCCAAAGTGCTGAGGCACACACCGCGCATCGTTATGAGGGAGTCGCCATCTGATGATTGGGCGAGGTGGTGATGTGTGGTGTGTGGGTTTCACAGAAGGAACACAGGAGTAGCCTGTGATCCTCCTTGCATCCAGAGTCGCTATCGAGTCTTCAAGTTTGAAGACTGGATAGGGATCGAGGCAGAAAATTGTAAAAAAGTGACCCGGATGGCGACTCCGGTGGGTCATCTTTTTCAAGTTTGGGTCGCTAAATGTGGGATAGCGACCCAATTTAGCAACCCCCGTGGAGATGCTCTAAGATCCCTAAATACAATGATCTGTAAAACTAATGTGAGGATAAATTAGGTTTACCCCCTTTACTCCACCCATGATACCTGCCTTGCCGCAGTATCCCTTTCTGACCTTATTGTCACACAACTAACATGAAAGTTTTCATTGGGAAAAATTCTTTGATAACTGCAAGCTCTAGTCATTTAACATTCAATAAGTTTCCTTTGCAAACACTTGACTGAATGATCATTGTATGTGAAGTCCATGCCAAGTAATGTATGTGGCTTGTGGGTGGAAAAATTTGGAAATTGATGTACGATTGAATCAAAGGTTTCTACATTTTCAACAGCAACCAGATCATCAATATAAAAAATGAAATAATGTATGGAGACAGGGATTGGTGGAGAACCAAATCCAATGTACACCCTTATGGCGACATCGCACTTACAAGAAAGATGTGCTGGGGGTGTTCTTACGTTTTTTTTCTTCACCCTGCAAGAGGACTCGAGGAGCCTATGGAAAAACCAAGCCAGTTGAAGCCATTCGAGTTTGCATATAGAAAATAAGCAGGCTGTTCTTAACTCGAGTCGCTTGGTGCCATTGGGTGAGCACCTGAAGATTCAAAATGGCCAATGACCAACCGTTAATGTGGTGGAGAGTAATGACACATTGGCGGTGCGAGCTTACCTGAAGTAGGAACCGATGATCATGTTTGAATGGAACAGTGTGGAGGAATTATACAGCGCCCCTGACCACCTACGAGAAATGACTCATTTTGTTGATAGATCCTTGGCGAATCCATTTCGTACGAATTGCTTTAGCAGAGTACACACCCTATACTTTGGGTAGCACATTCCGGAAACTATGAGAATTGGATTCAGTAGTAATGCCTAGTGGATGTGAACGAGTCCTAGGGGCTGCTATCCGTGCCTATGGGGCCTTCTCAAAAGAGGGTTTCCTGATAGTTTCGCCTCAGGCTGGTCTCATCAGTCTCAATCCAGACGTGAAGGTCAAAGCATTAAACACTTACTCATATCTCAACCGAGAAATATTAGTGAGTGAGTGCTAAGCTCCGGGGCTACGCGGCCCGTGAGACTGTAACTATAAATGAGGGAGATCTTGCAGGGCAGAAGCTGAGTCGACACCATATTCCCCAATAAACAATCCACAAATCAAAGAAACTGTTTATAAGCAACAGCTATCTACAAAACTTCGCATTCACATTACACCGGTCTACCATCATGACTCGCCTTACAGCCACTCTCCTTCTTGCGACTTTCGCTTTCGCATCCGTTATTCCTAACATTTCCGCCGGCATAGTCATTGGCGAAACGCTGCCCTGCACTCACTACACCCAAGCTAATACCGAATCTGCCAGTGAGTCATTAGCTTATCTTTCGCGTGCAAAAAAGTTGTGTTATTGTGTGTCGTGGCTCATGTTTCTACGCGACAAACCGTACAGCTTGCGGTGATCGGCCAAATGTTGTTTGCTCACAAAAGTGCACTGGAGGAGTTGGTAAGCATGGGAGCATCTGCAAGGGTTCATGAAAAAGGATCAAGAAAAGCTCATCAATTGTTGCGGGTTTATATTTTTATGTAGTTGTTGATGGTTGCTCCTCAGTACAACTACCATTGGTACCTTTGACGCGTCAAACCTGTACTATCAGCTTTACTCAAACTTCAACTTCCAACAGCAGTGAGTTTCTCCCACGAGGATGGGCTTCGAATTTGATGTTTTAGATTTTGGTCATCTTCTTGTTTTTCGGGGCTGATGTCTTTGCTTGTTGGTAGGTTGTGTCAATGGGCAAGGGTCCTTCACGTGTTCCGGAGTCCCAACTGGGCAAGCCAGTTGAGTGATCGCCCTGATTTTTAGAAGAAAGCGACATGTTCAAGTTTTGATGTTTGCTTGTATGCTTTATCCTACGCAGCGTGTTCGGGATGTCTGGATTCACAGCTGCAGACAGCCATGCTTCAATCTGCTCCAGCCGTTGGTCCTCTCGGTGGTACTGTACCCACCGCCGGTGCTGTCGGCGGTACTGTGGCCACCGTCGCCCCGGCGGTTGTCGCCAGCTCCACTCCCGCTGCTCCAATCGTTCCTCAAAACCTTACGAGCCAGGCCAACGTGTTACCTCCCAAATCCACTGTGCCTACCGCGCAGGTAGTAGCTGCCATCCCAGCTGTTGCACAATCTAACAAGGCCCCCGTCGCCAATCCTCAGGAAGATTCTCAAGCCGGCGACTCCCACAATACTACCACCTCAATCGTCTATGTAGCTGCAAATCAAGAAGAACCTATGTGAGCACTCCTATTATCCGGAAATGACCTTCTCTATGTGAACAAAATCAAGCCCGCAATTCTCTATCTGCTAACTAAACCATGTTTCATTTACGGCAAAAGGGTAGAGGACGATAACTCCACCTCGACAGCCACCTCGATCTACTTGAAAAACTCAGTGCAGCTCGTCGTCACCCTTGGTGTCATGGCGGTCGGAGTAGTCACGTTATGAGAGCCCAACATTCGCTTTTACCTTCCCTTGAAACTTGTTCCATTGGGCTTCTCCTCAGCAGGAAATCTGGTCGAAGATCCTGTTTGAAATTATTTTCTATCAAGATACTCTGAACTAGACTCCGAAAGACACTCCTTTATTTCTCTCTTATGTTCTCCTGATCAGCATTGTAGCAGTTTAAGTAACTATTACAATTTTACAAATGACTTGATTCTACTTAAGAGTCATGGAAACATTGCTTTAGCGCAAGTTTCTGCGCCTTCAACATTCAAAAGCCACACAAACCACATGAATTGACAGTATGGAAGGATCTCTAGCAATTGCTGCAATTTCACCGATGTCAAGGTGTTACTTTTCAAGCCACATGACCAAATGTTTTAGTCGGCTTTGTTCAGATGGCATGGTGAAATGGTGCTCCAAACTTTAATGTGCACTACGCGAACCCGCAGAGGTAAACTAAGGATGGGCTTACTCGTTAGCGTACTTCATTAGTTACCCAAATGCCGTATTTTCTGAGTTTCTCTAGGTTAGTGATGGCATGCCGTCTGTTGGCGCGAACAAGTGACTTTCCACTTTCTTTAATGTTTTGTTCAGAAGCTCACGGGATCGAAGACATTACTCTGAGAAAGGCATCACAATAAAAGATCTGACATCCCGGTCAGCAGCCGAGGTAGCATCGGGTCAAGTCTGACGAAGTACTGGTTCGCAAGCTTTTTACAGTCATCCTACGATGGCCTTTTCTCAAAACGCTGGTCCGAGTCAAAAATTCCTGTAGGACAATGAACCTCCATGGTAAGCTAGATGAGACAATGGTTCTGCCAACTCGCTAGAAAAGGATCACGACGGGTGCGTAATGGTTTCTCTGAAGCCAGATCGATTTGTGTCCCGACGAACAGGTGTTGTGTTTAGTTTTTCCATAAAATTGCAAAGGTGTATCAATAACCCCGACCTCTCCCACCCCCACCTCCGCGCCCACCTCCACCTCGGAAGCCACCACCACCACCACCACCACCACCACCCCGGAATCCACCACCGCCTCGTGGAGCACCCCGAAATGAACCTCGCCCACCACCTGCACCACCACCCCTTGAGAATCCCCGACCGCCTCCTCGAGGCGCCCCTCGTCCTCCTCCCCTTGGTCCTCCTCTTCCTGCTCCACCACGACCACCACGACCTCCGCCGCCTCTTTTGGGAACTTCAATTGGGGGTAATGGAGAGATGAGAAACAGGTTATCATTCGCGATTATGTTGAAATATCAACTAAACAAAAATCAGAGAGTGACTCACTTTTTTCTCCAGGTGGTTTAGGCAAGAATCTTTCGATAGGCAAAAGTTTATCACCGGCGATATAGACCTTGTCCCCCGAGTTAAAGGAGGTTGCGACCATCCCATCGCTCATCTTGATCGTGAAATAGACCTCGTTGATCGGTCCTAAAATCTCGTCAACCTTTCCTATCGTCGTCTTATTGGCCAGATAGATCGGCGCATTGAAGTAGGGCACCTGATTTGGGAAAGTTCAGAATAATAATGACATGAGTTGGTCGTCTCGTTTAATGGGGATCTAGTATCGGACTCACTTTCGATCCATTTGTTGATGTACACAACATTTCCCCCTCGACTGCATGGACAAACGATCCCATCTCTAAAAAGAATATACCAACGAATGAAGAAAAACAAATCCCACGCATTCAAGTCAGCTTTCCGGGGTTCTGTCAGACCAAGCTAGACGCAGATAAATCAAAAGCTGTTGAATTTGTACGGACCGAAAACTTCAGCTGGAGGTCCATTATCGAAACCGCCACCAAAACCACCTCGGCCGCCACGGAACCCACCACCACCACCTCTTCCACGTGATGACCCACCTCCACGACCGCCACGATCAGATCCTCTGAAACCACCTCGTCCCGACATCGAAAGATAGAACCTCTTCTTCCGGGTTTTTTTGTTTTTGTTTCTTCTTGGGCTCTTGCGTACTGGTGAGATTGGGGTGTGCTTCCGGTGTATCGGTTGTGACGATCAAGTCCGAGAGTTTCTGTTGAAGATGTCTTGCGATGTTCCCCGTTCACTCCTAAACACCGATGATGGTCTGTCCGGTCGTCTTGTTGAGGTTTGTTGGTTCCCGTCAACTCAACCGCCGGCAAAAATTATCTCTGTTCTGTTTGGTGTGGGTTGGTCATATTGCATATCCGCGTCCGCATGCATATCCGCAGGCCCGAGGGGCCGAGACTCGAGTGAGATGAATATGTAATACAAAAATATCATCACCGAGTCATTTGCCATTTTGCTGGTCATTCATCGATGACCACAGTATAAGTACTGTCTATGAGGAATGTCTGACACCATCTGCAATAGCGTAACTGTTGGGGTGTTCATCTTGTGATCAGCCATCCCCAAGACAACACCAGTTCAATCCTCACTGAACCCTTCGCCCGACCATCTCGAAATGCACCTCAGGACCATCATCTGTGGCTTTCTCGTCGCCTGGACCTCAGCTGCTAATGCCGGCACCATCAACTGTGTCCGGACGGGGTGTCCGGGAAAAGCCAACCAAAGGTGGCATGTAGGACCCCCATCGGCGAAGTGCGGGGAGCTTGTTGAGGACGGCTCCATTTGTGGAAAGCGACGCTCAAAGATTTACTACGTCTGCAGTACCTGCAGGTATACAATTGTCAGCAACAAGCAAATGTTACTTGACAGCCAAGAAGGGTGCACCCATGAAAATAGATATCTGCTTGCTCCTGGGCAAACCCCACCCAACGATTCAGGTTCAGATGGACCATCTGCAGCAGCATCAGGAGCCCAGCCTACACCCTCAACATCACCTAGTGGCCTTCCATTCTATAATTTGGGCCAGCAGCCAACAAATCCTAGTGGCCTTCCATTCTATGATTTCTTCCAGAAAGAATAAGTCACCACCAGCACAAACACATCAGCTCAAAAGCCGCGCAACAAATATTTTTGGCCTGTCAACCAGCAACCATCAAGAATAGAAAAAACAGACCCCTTCATGAAAACCTTCACTTAGTAAATTTGCTACCCAGTTTCTGAGGAAACTACTGCACTAAATGTGTCTTGAAAACAGCCTTCATCCATTTGAATCATGAGTAAATTGAGGGGAAGCCTTGATGTCCATGGATGATATTAATGGTGTAACTGATGTAATACATGCATGGTCATCACCTTGCATTGGACCTGTATCACATTGCATTGAGAGAGCAATGCAGGGTTGCTGCACCACATCACTTGCATCAAATTCTTCAATGCAGAGAATCTGAATTGCATTGCATTGATTGAGCAATGCAATGTGGGCACTGCACCACATCACTTCCATGGAATTCTTCAATGCAGAGAATGGACATTGCATTGATTCAGCAATGCAATGTGATGCATGATAATTTGGGAGTGACACCAATATTATTGGCATGCATTGCCTTGCATTGGTATTCCAACCCATGCATTGCTTTCCAATATGATGCTAATGCAATGCATGGCTTTCCCAATGCATCACACTGGATTTGAATTAATGTGCATTGCTAAAACAATGTGATGCCAATAAATGGATATTTATTGCATCATTTCACCATTGATGATATCAGTGGGGTTCACAATTGAACTTTTTTATTCTGGGTCCAATCTTGTGATTTTTTCTGATTGCTCAATTTAAGCATAACAGTAGCAAACTCAGCAGACTATCAGTGCTACACCTCAACCAAAGGAATTAACTTCACACTTGCTCCTGGTTTTCAAGGTGGTTGTTTGAACTAGACAACCAAGTCTGCATAGGCTTCATCACATCATTTTCATTTGTTCTTTGAAATTAAAAAAAAAATCACAAGTTGTTCAAGCACCTCTATAAGCACTTCCAAGTTTCACAACATCCATTTTTGCAAACTCCCAATTGTGAACCCTGCTAGTTGGAAATTACAAATGAATTTGTTCTTGATTATTGCTTGATTTTTAATTACTGCATATACTTGATCAAAAGGAATAGTTGATAATTTTGGAAGAAAAATCTATCCAAGGCCTTCCCCAAAGTGGTGGAAATAAATCAAAGAAAAAAAAAAACAGCTGAAAATCTTTACCTGACAAGTAATTTGGGAAATTTTGTTGGAATGTTATTGTTGTGCCATCTCTTTTCCTGTCACAACTTTTTTTGCATACCCACAAACATCCGGTTAACCTTCTGTCCCACAACCTGGCCCCTCATAGTTGTAGCAGATAAACAAGCTCCCATGATAGAAATCAAAACTCATCTGCTCTCTGTGCGCTTTTCCCTTAGGTCTCTACAATAATATATCCAACCTCTTGTAGCATGTGTGCTTTTCCACTGCACCCTCTCCCTGCATGACTGATGGCTGTTGGTGTTCAGGCAATGTTCTGAAGTATGGCAGGTACCAAAGTTCCATCCCTATGGACAATATGTTATACTGGTCTTGGTTTTTTTCTTCTCAATCCTTTGCAGTAGTTATTTAACTGTTTGGTTGTTTGGGTAATTTCAGGTTCCATTTGGTCAGCTGGCAGTTCATTTATTGGACTAGAGGCCAAAGAGGCTTTGTGACTGTGTGCCCAGTGTGCAGGATATTATTAATTTTCTTTCCAAGGATCCCATTCTATCAGCATTAGCTAGTCCTCCACAGTGCAAGTGGTAGCAAGCATCAGAGCTGTTAATGCCAATTGAGGCCTACACCCTGATTCAAAATTCCTGCTTGGTAAGTTTTTAAGATTGGGCTTCAAACTGTTTTTTAATTATTTTCCCTTTGTGGTGATTCCTCATTCACATCTTTGTACTTTCTTTCCATGACAAGGGAGGCCTTCTGTCAGCCTCTGGGTAACTAACCTGAGTGTTTATTGGTAGAAAGGTTGTTACTATGAGTTGACTGAGTGTTTTGAGAATGGTGAGTGGTAGGTAGTGGGTGTTAATACCAGTCCTGTAATGAGGAGGTTTCACTCTGTCAGTATGGTCTTTACTGAGAGGCTTGCTATCAACAGCACATCTGGATCAATACTTTGTATTAATAGGCATCCAGGGTACTAGGTAAAGATGACAATTGGTACCCATTTGGGGGTACCCGGCACCTGTTTGCCTGGTACCGCCCGGACCTGTCTGGCACCTGCCAGGGGGTGCCAGGTGAGGTACGTGGTTTCCATTTCTGAGCAAAACAAAGGCAGTACCAGGGTACCGCTAGAGGTACCCTCTTTACTGCGCAGTCACTAAGTAGGGGGATGGCTGTTGCCTTCTACTCAAAAAATGGGATGATAAAGGAAGGGGTGTTGGCCAAGTGGAAAGATGGTATCCAGACTGCTAAGAAGGGTAAATAATATGGGAAAGGTAAAAGAAAGTTGATAGTATTAGAAGATTAGCTCAGCACAATACTCACATGTAGTGAGAAAAAAAGGTGAACTGCAATTTCAAGTCATAAGAGTGCCATTTGCACCACGGCCATGGGTACCGCTGGTACCCGCCAGGGGGTGCCAGGTGAGGTACCTGGTGTCCATTTCTTAGGAAAACAAAGGTGGTACAAGGGTACCGCTAGAGGTACCTGGGTACCGATTGTCATCTTTAGTACTAGGACTCACCTGGGATTAATTTGGTTCCCAAAAGGAAAAGGGCTAACAATAATTATTAAGCTTTAACAAAATTAGTTGAAGATTAATAGATATTGTTAATGGGAATATTCAGCAAGGCTATGAATATTGTGGATAAGTTGAGTTGTTGACTGAAGCTTAAGAACAATATAAGTGGACTTGTTTTTACATGTACATATTTATTTGTAATGATATTTGACCGTGAAAATACAATAGAGCAGGGATAGCTTGTGGTACAGGTATTTCATGGACAAAGGAGTGAAAGGTAAGTGATAATTACTTCTGTATAAAACAGATATGTATTTAATTGATAAGTAATTAATAAATAAGATAATATTTAAGTTTATATGTAATCAATAAAGATAAGATAAAATATTATAAGGTAAAATAAGATAAGTTAATAATAATGATAAGTTAATAATAATGATAAGATAACAAGAGGTAAAGGTAATCAACATTATGGATGAGTACTTATATATATAATGTAAGACACTGAGACACTAGACCAGGTGTCTACAATAGAATGTAACCCCCTTGGGTTACATGATAAATATTATCCTGTGTAATCTTTAACTTAATAAGTATTGATTAATATTATTTATTATTGTATGTATTTTTTATGTTAGTAATTATTCTGTAAATTAATAAAGATTCACCTCTTTATTAACTTACCTCTTACATGAAAATTATACTGAAGTTGAAAAGGATAATTATCTCTTGGGTGTATCCAAGAGATGATTATCCTAGTTATCTCTCTTGTGTGAATATATATTCTGTTTATCTCTCTTATGTGTATTTTCTGAAATAAAGGATATTCATCACATGTACATTTAACATGCTCTGAATATACTGACACTTTCCCCCAAGGAATAGTGTACCAATAAGGGGACTGCACTGGTCCCAGCAGCAGTTTGACCCCTGCTCTGTAATATTTAAGGGGATGCCTCTTTCCCTGAGATTCATCCCCCAGACAATATTACCATACAAACCCAAGTACCTTACTAATTATTACTACAACTTAGTGAGTGGGGTTTTTACAGTCAAATATTGAACCTTAGTTATTACATTTCCCTTTATCTAAATTACTAGCCTTAGAAGTTACATATTTGACTTATAAGACTAGTACAAACCTCATTTCTCTTATATAATCCTTCAGCTCAGGCGCAGTGAAGCTCATCCCACTGTTGTCCCTTATTATTATAAGGAGCTAGCCCCTCCACTGTACCAGTGTTGAGGAGAGTCTTAATTCCACTGGCCCTCTTGGCTAGAGTGTGACCCATATCCCATCAACTCTTTGTCACATAAGAGACCAGAGCTGACACATAAGTACAGGTGTTGCAGTTACTTTGTACATGAAAGGTACTGTGACATGTACTCTGTGGGTGAAACCTTCATCCTATACATGTTTCTCTCTGTTAAGGTTTTTTAGTATGTCCTCAAATCTTTTATAGCTATTTTTGAACAGGTCCAATTTTCAACTTGAGTCAACCTCTTTTGGTGTGCACAAGTTGATCAAAACCTGTGTTTGAGCTTGAGAGAATTTCAAACCATGATTTTACAAAACCAATGTAAAATTGCAATGGACTGTACTAATCTGAGCTTTTGTTGGATTGACAAGATCATCCAGTTCTTGAAGAAAGTCTGCTCTAAACTTCCAACATGATTGGATGGGTTCAGGTTATCCCAATTTAACCCAGAAGTACTCAACCAATTAAAACTTGGCTGGATTCCAACCAATGAAATGTGAATTGAAGGTATTTATCATTTTGTATTTATATTTCATTGTTTGAGATTCATACAAGTTGACTTTGGTTGATCTGCATCTAAATTAAGCTGGGATACCCTCAACCTATCCTGTTATCCTGATTCCTGGCAGCGCTAAAATCCATAAACCTTTGAGGGATTTTTGTGATTCCAAATGTTAGGCTGAAAGATTGCATTGAAATAAGATTTAATTTTATTGGAAATAAATTCCAATAGGAAGTATTGCCAGCATACAGAATAGGTGATCATGGCCTGATTAAGTATCCATCTTTGGTCATGGATGCAGTTTAGGAAATCTGGATGTAGTTTGATGATTCATGAAATTGAGGCTGATATTCCTTGAACCAACTGTCAATGATCTCTAGTCCAAAGCTGAAGTCAGGATGCTGAGCTAATCTGGTGTGTCTTGGAAAGGCTCACTTGACACTCTCTCACATGATTTGTTTCTCCCATCCTTGCATCACCCCCATTTCCTTCCGAATCCTTGTATAGTTGTTGGCTACTTGTATTTTTATCAAGGTGAGATTAGGCTTTGTAAAGGTGCCACAGGGGGGCTTT